CGACAGTGACAATGGATTAGAAGGATCCCGCGCGCGAAGGAGGTGGAGAAGGACCGAGGGCGAGCAAGACCTGCTTGAACCCGAGGCGCACCTCCCCCCTACCCGCACACGTGAACGCGGACGTTCACGCCTAAGGGGGGGGCCGTGTAGCATTACCGCCGGCTACTGTACTATACATTAGATTTAGAATTAGATCTAACGCTGTAAGGTACGGACCTTACAGCGTGCGCGCGCGCATACCTTATAGCGCGCGCGCACTAACACGTGTACCCCACGTGTAGCACACGTGTGCTGTCAGCCCCGACGGCTGACAGCGTTACAGTGCGGGCCGACCCGCACTGTCTACAGTAAGCCGACTACAGTACAGTCCGTACTGTACTGTAGACGGTTAATTAACTTGTACAATAAATATAGGGAGCGACAGCCGGCGGAGGGGAGGAAGACAGGCAACCCTCCACCGACGGTCGACCACCCAGCTTACTCTACTCACACCGCCGTTCCGCGAGTAGTTACCACCGAGCGGGTAGTGGACGCGCGCGACACCCAGGCGAGCTGCGATCCGCCTCCGCCCGTCAGTACCGGATCGTCAACTGGTACTGCTCCGGGGCGTCGAGGCGTCGATCCGCTTGCCTACGCGCGCGTCCTCGCCGACACGCTCTACCACCCGCTACCGGCCCGCTTCCGGTGGCGTTGGTTGGTTCAAGACCCTCGGTACGCCGATCCGGGGTCTTCCGCCGAACATCGCGAACACCCCTCCGCCGTGTGTGGGGTGTTTATGCGACAAGCGTGAAAGCTGGTCTTGTTCAAGGCGGTGCGGAACGCGTGGGGGTTGACGAAGGGTCGCTTATCAGTGGTAAACACACGAGCAAAGCGTTTCTTGTCGTAGCCGAACATGTTTCGACTGACATGCCGAAGATCTGCTTGCAATTTGCGCGAGAGGCGTGGAAGGTCGTCGCCGTGAGGGTGCGGGGCGGTTGGAGAGTAACTAACTGCCGGGAGTCGCGACAGAGGTTTCGGGGGCGGAAGAGTGGCGGAGGCGGCCCCGAGATACGGTGATGAAACAACGGGAGTGACCGCTGGATCGGGGGAGGAAGAGAGGGGGGCGTCGAGGGCCTGGCCGGAGAGCTTAGCGAGCAGGCGGACGAAGGAACCGAAAGCGGTGTTGGGCCCGAGAGATTGGAGGAGGGATTTCGCGGCAGGGGAGGTATCGATGTGAGCAAGGAAGCGAGCGACGGAGGCAGAGTCAGAGAGATCAACATCTGGGCCAAGCAAGGTCGTACCATCCGTGAAGAATTTGAGGAGATCTAAAATTTTTGTGGGCGGGATCGGACGGCGCCATTGGGCACGGCACCGACGCGGCTGGCATGGGCAGGGGGTTTCGTGCGGGGAGTCTCGAGACTGGTCGAACTTCGAAACATGTACCTTCGAAGGGTACCTTCGAAGGTACAGTATTTCCTTCCTGAAGACGCACGGGATGTCAAGAAAGCAAAGGGTCTTATTTCGTTCGTCAACCCTTCGCCACGGTTACCTCGCAACGATGATTTCTGTTGTATTCAAGCGACTTCATCTTCACGATGTTGCACACCTTTAGAGTCTACCACTTTCTTCTCTCGTTACTCCAGAGGAGCCTTGCCGAAAAGGTTCCGAAGCCCCACAGTAAGGCAGGAAAAAACGCATGCAAGGTCTGCTTACTCCGGAAAAAAGAAACTTGCCCGAGTTCTATCAGTCTGTTTTCAGCTGAATTTTGAATGCACCCAGTTTGAGTAGATCTTCTGGAACATTCTTCGGCTGCTGCATACAGACTAAAGCAGCACTGACAAGTTTCTGAGGACAGTGACGAAGAACCACCGCTGAAGGGCGCAGGGATGGTCCATTTGTTCTGTCCCAACTGTTTTCAATGTAGGCAAACACAAGATAGTTTCTATCCAACAGTGATTGGATGCGACTTTTGTCAGACTTTTAGAAGTGTCTTTAGAAAAACGTTCATACTGACTGGCTTTCAGCAGGGATAACGAATATCACCCTTTCTAAAAGGGTGCTGGGATCAACAGTTCGCTTGCCAGGCGAGATTATCTTTTCTTTTACCCCCGGCTCCGACTGTATTGGATTTAATAGTGACGCACTTTTGGGAGTCAGAAATCGCTGAAACGTGTGAAAGCACCACAGGGTTTGTAAGCGCAAGAATCGCCGCTGCCAAATTGGCTCACTTTCCGACCAAGCAACTACCCTTCCCCGAGTGCTCAATTTGGGACACATTCTAGAAAAACATTGCCCCTACTCTCAGCACTCGTCAAATAGCTACAAAATCTCGCCCAGCAATGCTGTTGGGTATGCCAGTCAACTGCATTACCTTGAGGCGATGGTTGGTTGCCACCAAAACCGGTGATCTGGAAACCAGAGAAGACCGCCAAAATGTAACTTCTGGCCAAAAAGGGCTCAATTTGGGACATTTTTTTTATTGTAGACGCTAGTTCTCAACGCTCGCTAATGCCAGCAGAGTCTGCGCGGCTTCACACGCGTGGCTTTCTGCGACAGGGACAGAAGTCCTCGCCTTCTTTGGGACATTCGAGCCTACCGCGCCGCCTCCTACTCGCTTTTCGCAGCACTTTGCTGCTTCTTCGCCATGGCATCTTCTTTGCGCCTTTCGCGCTCTGCCAACCGATATTGCTTCTTCATAGCACGCCGTGCGTTTTCCTCCTCTCTCTTACGAAGTCTCTCCGCCTTTTTAAAGCTTTAGCATCTTGTGCAGCCGGCTGCGCTTCTTCAACAGTCCTCCGTCTCGCCAACATTTTCGCCACTGTCAAGCGTTCAGCAGGGGCACCACACGCGAGCACCCTTTTTGTCAGACCGGGCATTTTCGCAACTGGTGGGGGACGCACACTTTTTAAAACATCGAGAACCGTGCACCGCTCGTTCAGAACGCCTCTATCTCAGCCAAAACTGCTGTAGGGCTGTCCCCAGAATCAAATAAATTGCGCAGATCTTCAATAGTTTCGGAATCAACATGTCTCACCTTTGCAGTTCTTGCAGCTTGCGACGGACCCGTGTTATTAACACGGTCAATTTTCGCGTGCATTCTACTCTGCAAACGGTCGTCGATCCGCACAAACTTTTGACAAAAGCGGAAGTCCATTGGCCCGAAGGCCTGTTTTGTGAAATGAACTTCTGACATTGTCACTTCTGACGGTTTGTGGGCCGCAACCGCCAGCTTCAATTTAAAAGCAACGGAGTGCACGTTGGTTGATGCCAGCTTCAACAAATCGTCCCGTGTTCTGCGTATGCGCGTCTGGAATGTCTTGTTAATGTCCGAATCGCATGACTGGAGGAAGTGGGTAGTTTGAGCTGGTAAAATCACTAATATTATGTTCAGCTGTTCTGCCTTGCGTACCCACTCAATACCCTTACGCGACGAGTGCCCGTCGAGCAACAGGACAATGAGCTGTGACCTGGGTACAAATCTGCGAACGTAACTATCAATTTGATTAACGATGAAAGGTAACGTCGGCATGTCGACAGATCCATTTTCAGTACAGCGTATGACAACATCACCTGGCAACCACTCTTGATTCGTAAGCCAGTGAGGTTCAGTTTCATCTCTGGTAAACGACGTCTTGTCTAATGGCGTCGTCTAAGACTGCATTACGTTGACGCCTGCTGCTATTACAAAGAGCGGCGCGAGATGCCCAGAAGCTGCAGCAGCTATGACAGCTGTCATATGTCTGCCCGATCCCTTTGGTACCGCAGTAAATCCACCGTGATGGGAGTGGCTCCCTGAGAAAACCTTCACACGTTCTTCAAACTCCCTATCCACATGCGTCTCATCTAAGTTCCAAATGTGAAGTGGATTATCAAATATCCCAGCGTGGTTCGTCGCAATTTCTCGAAGGCAATGGGCAAGAGGTTCTATGTGGTCGTGGTTTTCGGTTCGCAGCTTAGCTGCGTTCTTATTTTCAGTGCGTCGGTATGTTATGTCACGGTTTTTTGCCCTGTAAGTTCTTATAGCTGCGCTTGACGGGGCATGCCGATATGATCGACGTACATCATTGCAGATCTGCTGCGAGACAAATTTCATCCCAGAAGTGTCCACAGCAAACCCGTTTTCGGCAGCTTCTTTTATCTTTTTGTTAAGTTATGTCGCTTCACTGGCGTGCCACACAGTCCGCCGTCCCCGGTGGAAGTCCAGGAGACGTGAGAGTTGTGCCTTGTCGTCTTTTTTGAGGCAGAGAGCGATTCTGCCGGCTGTAGACTTAGAAATACTGCACGCATCGGCAACATATCGAATGGAACGTTTTTCTCGCAACAGGTTGAGGGCTTTCTTTCGATTTTGCTGCTCGTCGATACCCTTTCGCAGACGCCCACGTTGATTAGCAGATTGTTTGCGCATAGACTGTGGCATTGTGGAGCAAAGGGGGTTTGAATGCATGCCGAGGGCGGGAAGGAATGGTGGTGAGAGAGATATATTGCCTCGCAAATTTTAAATTTCCCGCCATCGTCCAGCAATGGCAGTTGCTTTGACTGGGCCACTTGTTTGGGACGGTATGGGAGCTATGGGGTGCTCTGATATGCATGTCCTGGGCAGGGGGAAGGAATTTACTGGATTGTCCCAAATTGAGCCCCGGTCCCAAATTGAGCCCTTGGGGAAGGGTACAGACTGGGTAGTAAAGTTTCAGTAATTGTAGAGAAAAAGAGGACACAGCAGAAGCCCCATAACGATTGGGGGAATTAAACTCTCTTTTGGGGAACAAGCATATGAGGCCTGACTACTGTATGTGCCCTAAGAAACTGTTGCGGGCCTGCGCGCAGAGAGATCATGCGGTGGCGCTGACGTCACCAGTCGCAAAGGTGGAAGAATGATGCATTTCAAACAGAATCTTTACAAAAAACGGTTGGGTTACTGTAAGTCCTTTTCATGAACTCCATGTGGCCCAAAGAAATCCAACGCAACCTGTCCCTCAAAGCTGAGGGCCAGTCAACGCCTAACTGCTGGAGCACCGAAAAAATTACAACGAAAAAAGGACCACACTGGATAAAGACGTTAGATGTCCCCCTTTCGCTTCCGCATTGAGCAGTGGTGGATATTGCGCCATTTCCGGGCCATTGGATGTATATTCGGTCATCCATCCCCACATAGCCTCCTTCGTCCTTCCCGAACCCACAACCGTTCCGGTCGACGCGTGGGGTCTCTGCCAAGTCGTGCGCAAGTCGTGCGAAGTCTCGCTGGCCTCTTGTATCACAAGCAGGCCGCTTCCCTCTCCGGCAGAACTCTTCTTTGACAAGGGCTCGCACTTCTGCAAGGCCGGAGGAGGCGCATTCATCGCTAACAGGCTTCTCACAGAGGCCTTCGTGCTCCCTCGGCGACTGGCCCAACTATGATGGGTGAGCGAAATCGCCTGGAAGAGCTTCAGCAAGGCCGCTCGCTTCACTCCGAGCCAATCTCGCAACACGATGATATCGAAACTGGGCTGACATCCGATCAGGATGCGGTGCTAGCCAAGTTCAATCGTGAAGCGGCGGCTATTGACAAGGTACATGCCTGGGCCGAAGACTCGATTCGTGCCATCAAAGACTCCATTCAAGGTGCTACGACTAATGGAGACGCTCTCAAATCAATTGGCGATAAGTTGAACGTCGTAGAGGAAAAGCTCGGCGCTGTTCGCAAGCGCTTGAAGCGTATCGCGGGTGAGAACAAGGAACTCTCCGAAAAGAAATCTGGCGTTCCTTCGTCTCTGCGTATTCGAGTGTCTCGATACACCAAGCTCGGAAAGGACTTTATGGCAGTCACCTCGAAGCTCGAAGCAACCAGAGAGGCTCACAAGGAAGCTGTCACTAGAACAATGAAACAGGAAATTTTGGCTGTAAACCCGTCTGTTTCAGAGACGCAAGTTGATCGCGCACTAGAGAGTGGTTCCGGCCTGGAATCAGTTTTGGAATCTGGCAATTCCAACCTCAGATACCAAATCGAGGATCTGCAATCAAGAAACAGGGATATCCAGAAGCTTTCGAAAAGCATTATCGACTTGCATCAAATGTTCACGGACATGGGCATTCTCGTCGAAGGCCAACAGGAACTCATTAACGACATTGAATACAATGTCGAACAGGTGAAGACCGACACCAAGAAGGGTGCTGAAGAGTTGGTCGTAGCTCGAAAGCATCAAAAATCTGCTCGAAAGAAGAAAATGTGCATCTGCATCATCATCACGATTGTTTTGGGCGGTGGGGCTGCTGGTATCATTATTTGGCTCGGCCTTAAAAACGGTTGGTTCTCTGGTGGTGATTCAAATGATACTGAACCTACTCCCACTCCAATTCCGACACCAAGCGGCACCGTCCGAAGGGGGAATCATTATTTTGGCAATCCGTCCCCGGATCACTTTGTGTTTAAATGGCGTGATTAGCGTATAGCTTCAGCAGAGTTGCCCCCTGAGCACCACCATATCCGTTTTGTCGCACACTTGTCGCGCACACTCATGGTCAGATATCGCGGGGATCGTTAGTTTCATGGGGACCTTGTAAGGCGAGTTCCTTCATAATGTAAATTTCCGTTTAATATATAACCGACCGACAACTCGAAAATAGCTCTACTGAGAGAGAACAAGAACATTCTACAGTCATATTCAGTTCCCGCTCAATGGGGATCAGATCGCCCACCTCCATAACAACAACGCACTTGGATTGATCTCGATGCGCTCACTTCACCGAAGTTTGTTGCGAACTCACTGATATGGCGCTCCTAGATACTGCCAGCGATCCTGTGAATCCCATTCCGCTTCACCTGAACTCGACAGAATTGCATTTCTGCACTGTATAGTATTTATACACTCGACAAGTTATTGATCCAAAACTCGCGACTCTTCTCATCATTGCATGCAAATGTATACGTTCTCTGACAAGTCTTCAATTCAAACATGTAGCCTTGATTCGTTTTCCGTGCATTATCGACACGTCTCACACTCGACTCAGCAAGAGCAATCATCTTGCTGCTCTTCAAAGCAAAAGTTCCGGAGGGAGAGATACCGGCTTTAGAATCTGGAGTGAACAGTAAAAGAACAGCACCAAAATATCCTTGGTGTACAAGACTGGCGTACCGCAGGTTAAATCTCCTGAATATCCTGCTGCGGAGAAGAATATCTCCTTGTGCCTTTGAAACCCTCTCCTTCGTATTCGCCCTCTTCACCTTCTCTTGCGCATTGCTCGCGAAACGAAGATTGGCGGAAATCTCATTACCAGCCGTTACACTTGCTCTTTGAAGATCACGCAAGGCGTTGGCGGCACCTGGTCGTCGGGTAAATCGGTTCGGAACATCAAGACCTCCATCGTCGTCATCGTCTACGTCTTGTCTCTGCTGCTTTCTGTTCTTCTTCGAAAACGACATCATGGGAAACAAAGGCTTTTCAGACTCATTAGACCCGGGCCGTTCATCATCTCCAACATCCGCCGGTAAAATAGACCCCTTCAGATCTTGGGCAATCTTGAGGCCTTTGGAAAGGGTTGCAAACGTGTCAAACGAGTCTGCTTCATCAAAAGACATAATACCCATCGCGGGAGCACCCCCCATGCCTGCTCCCTTGCCGTTACCCATGGCTGCGGAGCTGTCAAGTGGAGTGAGTCTCGAGTCGTCATCGAAGTCCAGAAATGATGACGGCTCCTGTAGGAAATTCAAATCCGATTGTCCTTCATTGCCAAGTCTCCTCGAATTCCGAAATGAAGACTTTGGAGGGCTCCTCACTTTGTCATCAGGTATCGGGCTTTGTACCTTTTCCATTCGATAAGATTGTCGGTACGAAAATCTCGGCATAAGATCAGGGTCCTGAAGTGTCATTTGTGATGAGCTGTGCCCGGAAAATGAATCACTTAGGTCAATCAACCGTTCTTCATCCCCGTGCAATGAAGAAGCATAATCTTGGTCGGGTTGCTCGAGGTTATCCACCTCAAGATCATCGAAGAGATCCTTGGAGCTCTGGGTTTCATTGGAGTCGAGGTCGTCCTGGCCTGATTCTGAAAAAGACTTGAGGGAAGAAGACTCTTCACAATTGACCACATCAGTTGGGGCTAACTTAGAAAGCCGCACTGAAAGGCGACTCATTCTCTTCTGGTTCGCGTCACGGGGCTCCTGAGACAGATCTCTTTCGCCTATCTTGGGAATTGGAAGTCCAACCAACGGAATGGGCTGAGGAGCAGTCACCAAGGGCTTGACTTCTCTGTTTCCTATTTTAGTCTTCAGGGTTGATGTCGGCACAGGTCTGGAAACCTGTTCCTCCTTTTCAAACGAGGGCACCTTCGTCGGGTGCTTTTCGACATCAATATCACCAGGTGCACCAACAATAAAAGCGTCTAAGGCGCCCTTGAAAGGAGACTTTCGCATTAAGGCAGAAGCAGGACGTTCCCTCACTGATTCATCGACCGCTTCAAACAAGCGCATGCGATCAGATACCTTCATATTCGAAGGCGAGGGTCGATCGTTTCCCTCAAAGTGGTTTCGGCGATTAGCAATACTGAGGGAGATCGCCGGCTTAGCGGACAAGAAGGCTTCTGTATCAATGGGGGAAAACAAAGGAGACGACGATATATGATCAGCCTTCCGGCGAGGAGAGACAGACATCTGAGTTGGAGAAGTCTTTTCCTCGGCCCCAGGGTTCCTCTGAACGTTTGTGTTGGTGGAGCGAAGCAATGGAACAAAACGCTCTGCCTTCGGCGGACGAGGAGGTGGAGGGCGGATGGGGATCGGGGCGGAGAGTTTGGGTAGTTTGCTGTACGAAGCTTGGTTGTCCCATGGACGACTTTCGCGATTGAACTTGGCTGCGTTTTCCTTGTCGCCTTGGGCGGGACCGCGGTTTCTCCTGACGATCCCCATGACAGGTTACGAACGGGGACGGAGGTCGAAAGCGCTGCACAGCGAAAGGGTCGTCAAGCAGCAAGGAGTTGGAAGACAGAGTCCGGGCTTTATGCGTACACTAAGAGCTGTTGAGCAATAATGGAAGAGTGGTTAAGTGGGTTCAGGGGAAAAAGGACGTCCGAAATTTTCCGGGTGCCGAGGAGGGGACGAGCCGGGGGCGTGACGTTGGCAAAGCGAAAAATATGCATCCTTGAACACACCCATGACGCATCGTAGCGGGGAAGGCGGAACGATGATGCATCTGCGGGATGAGTTGAGGAAAAGGTAGCCGTTTCGGAAGTGTGGAGCCGTTCCAATTGTTCCTCTACGCGCGTTGGTACAGCGTTCCTGCCGTTACAATCTCCCCCCTTGTAAGAGCAGCGACGTCGTGTCTCTCGATTTTTTCGAAAATTACACATCTCCAAACGCTGTTCTCTGGGCAAGATCTCATCCAATTAAATGTCACAGACGACGTCATATGAAAACTCAGTACGAAGACAGCTGACCGTTGCACAGCAGGTCGGGTCGTTTTACGCTCACCTCTTAAATGTACACGTACTCTTGTTCCAAAAAGACTGTTAATACTGAAGCAGTTGCTATTCAGCATGTTAAGAATCCAATTGCCCCTGGTCGCTTGCCTCAATTTTGCAATATAGCAGATACGCACAGTGCGACAGTATACATAGGACAGTACGTCGTTGTGTACGGTATTATATTGTGCACTTTTACAGTACTGTTCTGTACAACGGTGCTTCAATACAAATGTGATACACCTATATCGCAATAGACGTACATTGCTGTTGCAGACAACCTCGATGCTACGAATGAAGCTCCGAATGAAGCCCCTGAGGCTCAAACTGTCCTAAAGTTGACGAAGACAGAGCAGCCAGAACAAAACAGCCGCCTCACAGATAACTGCCACAGACGACACAATACTACCTCACACTTACGGTAGCCTCAGGGCCTTTTTGCTGTTGCTGGCCTCGTCGCCGAGAATAACCTACGTTTTCAACCGTCAAGTAGAGTTCTTCGCCATCCCCGTCACCGCATCTGGTATTCTTTCAACTCTGCGGGTCTGTTTTCGTATCACTCCAGCAATTATGAACTGAGAATGTAATAGTCTATGTTGCTGTGGTGTCATCCTGCACTTTTTTATGAGTAAGCTGAAAGGGCGCGTATCTGAAATTCACAACAGAGAGTTGTTGTGATCTGTAGAATCACTTCCTGGACTGTGGAACTCGTAACCTCCATGCTTTCCACAAACGAATTTACAGTTTGCGTGTGACTCAAAAGAAGTATTCTGGCAACCGTGCTAAGCCTGGGGTTGCACCCTGTCTAATACTTCAAAGCGGACACCCCGAGTATCGTAAAATCCTTCCTTTAGCAAGGACAGCAACGCTGACTTGATTCTGTTGACACTGCTGGTCACAGTAACTTTAGGAGGTCTTATCAGCTTAACTTGGAAATAGATGCAGAATTGGGCATAGTTGCATCCTTGCAACACCACTACAGTATGTGATTTTGACGATATCATGGTAATTACTGGAGATGCTGAAGCAATTTTTTCGCATGTGCAGGCTGAAGCAAAATACTGACAAAATGGTTTTCGATAAAATGTGATAAAAATGTTATTGGGCATATCTTGTGTCTATCGGACCGTTTGTCGTCGTATGAGGACAAGACTCATTTTCATTTTTCTAGACAACCCAATTCACGATTTCACTTATTTTTTCGGAACTAGAAGGCCAATACCACGGGTAAAGCATTTTGTTGTCGATTCTAGCGAAATCTAATCTGTTGATGCATATAAAGGTATTGAAAAGAAAACGTTGGCTTACCGTAAGGTTAAGTTAATTTTATACCAATACAGTACAGGGGGTCCCACGCAATAGTGCTATACCCGAACAGACCTCGACATATGGCACTATTGCGTGAATGGCACTATACTGAAAGCGCCAAAACACAATCATTGATCAGAGATGCCAGGCTTTGAAGCGTACCTCTCAATAGGCGACAGCTGCGAACGTCCCTGCCTCCCCCCCTGTCCGCTCTCTCCTCCCTTGCACTCGCTCTACCCCTCCCCCCCTGCGGCGCCCCGCCCAGATGTTCTCTGCCAACGGCCCTGCAGCAGTTCCCATGCCCGCTGTGCGTGATGCGGGGCTACGTGCTGTGCGACATGTGCAGCGGGCACACGTGTATGAACACGTGTAGGAAGTATGATAACCGTGCCAAGGCGT